CACAAATCTGGAAATTTTCCCTATTGGAAAAAGCAGATTCCTGATTGGCTCAGAGTTCTGCATGCTTGGAAGGGTTATCCATGCAGAGGCAACAACGCAGGACACTTAGAAAGTACCTCATTGAGCTAGTCTGCTTGATCTAGAGCTTTGGGTACCACATCACAGTAACTGCCGTTTAAGAGCCACTGCATTCTTTAGGGTCAGTTTATTACGACTCATCATACCAAAAGAATCACAGTTTAAGGCTAGTTATCATATGCACTATCAAGTGAAGACCTCTGCATCAAGGACTAGAGGAAGACTTGTTAACAACATGCGATGTGCAGATGACAGACAGGACGTTGCTTGCTGAGAGTGATGAGGGCTTGAAGCACTTTCTGATAAAGATCGAAGACTACAGCCTTCTTTAAGGATGGATTACACCTCACTGTGAGAAAAGCACAAGTCCTCACTATGGGACCAACAAGCAACATCAGGAGAAATGGAGAAAAGATTTGAAGCTGTCAAGGATCTCACTGTAATCGGATTCACAATCAACATTCATGGAAGCAGAAATCAAAAGGCATCGTGCGCTGGGCAAATCCACTACAAAACACTAACACTTTACGTGTTAGAAAGAGCAAGGTGCACCTGATCCAAGCGATGCTATTTAGCAGATGCCTCATGTGCATGGCATTTGGAAAGTGGATCGTAAGTAAGTTAGACTAAAGCAGCAGCAATGCTCTGAATCATGGTGTGAGTGACAAATATTGACTACCCCACTGACAGACAGGATAAACAAGTTCTGTCTAGCAAGAAGCGGAGTGAGAATGCTCCTTAGGAGCAGGGATGAGAGACTTCATCTCATTTACGCTGGATATTTTATCAGGAGTGACCAATCCCCAGAGAAGCACATTATGCTTCGTAAAGTAGAGGGGTAGCAAAAAAGAGGAAGACGCACTCTCCAGGAGATGGACTGATGCAGTGGTGACAGCCGTGAGCTGAAACACAGCCATGACTGAGGATGGCGCAGGACTGGGCTGAGGTTTGTTGTACGTAGGGTCTTACGAGTGGAAACTGCGTTCAGTGGCACCTCGCAACAGTAATACTGTAAACAAAACCTGCCCACAGCTGCCCCCATCAAATTCTCCAAAGGGTGGACAGAGAATGTGAGACTTCACAACCACAACAGTAGAAAACATTTTCATTAAGGGCTTCAGTTACCCTCTTTATAACCTTCCTGGAAAACACCTGGTCTATAGCAAAAGATGGCCTGAAAACAAGTTAATGGAAACAAGAAAGGGACAATAGTACTTTCCTGAAGTTAAAAGCAAAAGACTCATTGGCTGGTCCTAGCATTTCTTCGAGGTGGAGAGGGAGGGAGCCACCCTTCAATTCTCTAGCTAGCAAGAGCTAAAGAAAGAAGGCACGCGTCTCTCCATGAGGAAGGTGTCCTGATGAACCAGCCTGGTGATCTAAGATGCTATGTGGACACTGAGCGTCTATGTTAAGCAGGTAACAGCACATCTCCAGGTTTTGGGTTGTATTTTAGCCAACAGCTGCTCAACAGCCAGTAAGAGTCTTTTCATTTTCACGCCTCTCTTCGTAAGCCTCAGGTTAAGCTGATTTTACCTCTGGAAAATGTTCAACACTTTTTGATCATTATAATGGTGGAGTGTAAGAAGGAAACCCATTCTTCTCCCTTCTTTCTTATCAATATAGGTTAAAGCAGAGGTCATTACCCATTTAGGGTTACTCAGGATTTGAGGAAATGCTCTACCAAGAGATTATACTGCAGCAGTTCTATATACAGTAACACTCTGACATAGTCAATTGCATTAAGTTTCTCCAGGCTTGTGGCACAACCTTATACATTCTTATAAAGCAAGAATGATCCCTATTCTCTTTCTTCATTAACCAATGAGACGGCTAGGAGGGCCGCATAATCAAGCCACCTCACTGGGCGCCACAGTTCCTCACTGATTTGGAAAAAGGAGGAAAAATAGGGAGGTAGTGAGAAAAACACACGGTTTGTGTTTTTCTTTTTCTTCTTAAGAGAAATAATAAGCCTCCCAAGGTAATCCATTCTTCCTCTTGGTTTTACTGATGGGAAGAAGGAAAGTGTAGCACACACAGAACATTGAGCTTAGAATGACACTAAGTCAGAAGAAACTCCGACCCAGTCTCCCTTAGGTTGGCGGGAAAGCAGCTCCCTGCCTGCTCCTGAGATGTGAACCTGAATGAGCGTGGAAGGAAAAGCAGGAGATCCGATCCACTGACCCCTCAGAGCCCAGTGCTACTACCTCTCAGCTGTCTCTGAGGCTGGAATTAGAAAAATAAAGGCAATGAAAACACAGAAAGGTCAAGGAGAGACGAATCACTGGAAGAATGTTTAATTCTCTGGCTGCTGGAAGAACATTACAGCCATTGTGTGGGATACTTCATCTTATGCGACTGCATGATGTTTGTTTGGACTCTGCCCTTAAACAGAAAGGAGGGAAGAGAAACGGTGATGAGGATTAGTCACGCTTTCACGGAATGGACCTAGATGTAGGTTTCTGGTAGCAAGTTAATTGATGCCTAGTTGAGTCTCCAATTAGGCCATGGACTGAATTGTTTTAAATAATACTGGTATGTCTTGAATTTTTACTCGTTCATAATGTTTATATAAATGTGTATTTCTCCAAATACTTGGAAAAATAATCATACTTATAAAATGATTTAGACCCTAGATTTCTATTAAAGTTATAAAACAATCAGTATATAATGTATACAGAGTATTTTTTTCCACAAAGTACAGAGGTACTGGACCTGGGTAGATTAGAAGAGTTTTGTTCCTTTAAAATAAAATTGTAGCTTAATCACATTTATTCTGAAAACTTTCTTCACTAGCACAATGATGAAAATGCTGTTTTAACTGTGACCAGTGTTTCAACTTGCAGTCGCTTCAAGCATACCAGCATAAGAAAACTAAGCTCATTGCTTAAAAAAAAAAAGACTTCTGCAAACCTCACCTCTTTATTAAGTGCAGTGTGCAAGCCAGCTGGTACTGTGCAGTGCTGATCCTTTGGGAGGGACTCGATGTCAGAGAAGCCTAGCAATGTTCGGTTTGAGTTTGTTCACAACAATCTCTCGTTTCCCCCAGCCCTTGTACATGCTCTGTACATTCCCTGCCTCTCTAGTTCATACCTGATCGTTTCCTAGTCATTAAAAAAGCAAACTGAAACTTTGGAATAACTCAAGGGCTTAACTCTCTCAGATGCTGAGAGTAACCAAAGAGGACTTATTCTCAAGACATGAAAGCAAATCTTCACAAGCAGTAACCTTGCCCTTACTCTCCGTTACCCGAATGTGCACCCATGGTGCCGTGCAAGGTGCCCCTGGGATTAGCACGGAGACTCCTTCTCAACTAAAGAATCAATTTCAGAACAGAGCAGTGTGAGAGTACGTTCTCTGCCCACTCTCTTCAGAACCCTTCTCCTGTCCTGCCTGATGAGTACAGAAGACAAGCTGACCTTGAGAGTAACAAAGTTGAAGGTTCTCCTCACGCTTTGGTCAAAAGAAAAGAAAAAAAAAAGAAAATGGTGACTTTCAGATTTGTTCTTTGGTCATGCAGCATAAAGCTTTTGGAAAGAAGTTCTTTTACACCGTTGAACTACGAAGATGGAACTGAAATAAAGGACTCTGGTTTAGCAAAAGGATACAAATGTGTCCAGGATGCCTTAGAGAAGCAGGAGCAGGGACGGATGAGAAAGAAGGAACAGGAGGCTCTAAGTCCCTGACGCTGAGCTAAAATCATGACATCAAGAAGAAAAGAAAACAAAAATGTGCAACAATGAATAAAAAAAGAAAAAGAAAAGAGAATTGAAGAAAAGCAGCCATCAGGAGTAATAATGAAATGGGTCTGTTTCTAAATGACAGACTTTCATCCTTAAATAGGACAATGACGAATGACTTCTGAGCACAAGATTTACCAGTATCTTCCTTTCTCACTTCAAGTCCTGTCCTGGATCCAGTCTCAGCCGAGGCTGTCATGGTTTTGAACTGTGGGAAGCAAAGAGACGCTTAAACTACAGGCATTCTGCAAGTACCAATCATTTTTTCCGCACTGCCCTTGCACCCTCACCCCCTCTGGAGAGCCGTTCACTCTAGATGACCAGTGTTGTACACAACACATAGAGTGTTGGCCACAACTGTCCCACAGAAGTCTGGCCAGGAGAACATAGGGGCACTTCTGAAGCAGTCAGGGTCCAAACAGAGGGCTAGGTTAGGAGAGAACCCGACAGGGGGCAAACCCTGACTGTGGCTGTTAGGAAAAAAATATTTGATGGTGGAAGAAGAAAACATCTGGTGATTAGAACAAAAGGGACGAAAACCATAGCTGAGGGAGGTCCCTGGTAATGCGGATTAGACAGTGAGCCTTTCAGTACTGTTACTGGTTACAGTATTATTGTTTTGTTAGGAGTAAAACTTACAACTAAAGAAACTTTGGTTGATCACTTGATGAGTTACACAGAGATTCAAAGGCTGGCAAACTAAAAACTGATGGAATGAAGTGGAAGGCACTTGCTGCCTAAAGAGGAGGGCCAGGTGAGTCACGGGGCCTCAGGGCCAGGGCCAGCATGGCTCTTGATGAGCCTAGAAGAGAGCCGCTAGTCTTCATGGTGGATGGGAATGGGGAATGACTAAATGGTTAGGATGCAACAGGCTGGGGTCAGTGTGATATCACAAGTAAAAGGGTTATAAAATAAACCTTCTTTTAATGGAAAAACAAAACAAAACAAAACAAATTAAATCACCTTTCTCTTCAAAGGTGAGATGTAGCAAAGAAAGGATGTCAAGCAGTTTTTCACTATATACAAAATGCCATTTAGGGTGGAGGTGGCCACCTTCTGGAGTCGAAGCAACGTCTTTCACATGAGGTGGCCACAGAGGTGTGGCTCCTGGAACCGGCTCGGAAAGGCCACACACTGTCCTGCAAATGAGGAAGGAGGGTTCCATGAAGGGAGCACCAAAAAGGCTCAGTCTTCTGTTTCTTCGTATGTAGTCTCGTCAAAGGGCCTGTCGAGTAGAGGCACCAACCGGTGGCGGGAATACTTCAGCTGCAAAAGGTCTCCAACTTCATCTATCTCCTTTAAAGCCTAAAACATAAGACAAAGCAGAGGTCAGTGAGAGCCAGCAGGATGCGAGCATGCATGCTTCCTGATTTTCTTGAAGATGATTGTAGTTACGGCTGTCGGTAGTGGAGCTTTGATGAGTGCTGACACTTAGATCAGATGACTTTACAGCTACAAGAAAGAGCTACTTTTCTGAACAAGTACTTTAGTCCAACCATAAAAAGGGTATAGTTTGTCAAAGTATGAAATGGTGGGTAAAGGACATGCATCCACACTGGCTAAAATGTCATTCTTCCTAGTAACTCATAAACTTACATTTCAGAAAACTGGTGGGAGTTAAGATTCCTAGATGGTCCCTGATGCAAAATTTAAAAAGTCCCCAAGCCGAGCTATTATGTGGTGTTGGTAGAGAGAGTAGAAGCTGTTGGTGGGAGACTCTGAGTACACAACAGACAAAGTAAAGGTCAGAACTGGGACTGGATATCAGGCCTCACTTCAAAGTCCCAAATCCTAACCTACAGAACTGTTCTCCTGATAACTCTCCTCCTTTTTGGTAAAACCTGTACTTCTACAAAGTTTTTTTTTTTTCAAATTTTCCGTATTAAAAAAAAAAAGTATAAAATGAAAAGATGTATAAAGTTTAAAGGAAAAACAACTGTTCTGTAAACTTTCAAAGCTCAAAAAAGAAAACAGTATGAGATGAATAGAAAAGTCTCTCTCTAATCAGTGGTCCTAATTGCTAGAGGTAATTCTAAAGTGGTTTCATTCGTGTATTTCAATAACCTTTTGATGGAAATATAATGTATGCGCAGAAAAGTACACAAACAGTAAATGTCATACCCAAAGTGACCCCTTCTTTTTTTTTATTTTATTTCCATTTTGTGTGTGTGTGTGTGTGTGTACTGTCAAATCAGATCTGACTGCTACGGGAGGAGACTGTCCCTTCTTCTTCAGCAGAGCATCTGGAGTGTTCGAACCGTGCACCTCTCAGATTGCAGTGCAGTTTCTTGCCACTGGGCCACCAGAGCCCACTGTGACTCCTTCTTTAAAAGGAGCATAGTTAAAATAGAGAATCTCCATTTAGGAAAGTGACCTGTGTCTATAATTTCTCAGAAAAACAGATGCAATAGAGAGATATCTTAAGCTGCCAGAGAAATCCAAAGACAAGGGGGGGAAAAATCTGCAACCCTTTAGAAGGGAGGATTTTTACCATTTGTAGAAAGTTCCTAGCACAGGCCATTGCATGCAGTGTTCAATGAATGGCAGATCCTTGGCCCTCAGATTCAGAAACAAGGGACCCACAACAGGCCGGAAAAGTAGGAGAATAGCATTGTTACCTAGTGGGACTCTACAAATCCCCATCATATTTCCCTTCAGTATTACAATGGCTAAAATTTAATTTCAGAATGCATACTTCGTATTACACAAAAGTAAGACAGTTGTTTTAAAATCATACTTAGTATAAAAAGCAAGTTTATCCATCTACAAAGCTAACTTTTAAAAACCAGTTTGGGGAAAGAAAGGGGAAAATATTTAATACTTTTCCTTATAAAGTTTAACTTAAGAAAAAAGATTTTTCACATAAAAAAATACAAAAACTAATAAAGGCAAACAGAAGATGAGACTTCAACATGCTATCTGAACAGGGATAGTTTTGAAAAGTTTAATCCAAAGCTCTTAAACAATTTAAGAGAAAGGTCAGCTGGGAGACTTCATTAACCATTTCTGCCTCTGCTCTTTGATGTGTTGTTGTTGGGGACCACTGAGTTGGAACCAACCCATAGCTGACCTTCCAGTGGGTTTCCAGAGGCAGTTAATGGCACAGAAGAGACTGCAGATACTTCTCCTACAGAGTAGCTGGTGGATTCAAACCATGTTTTTTTGGAATTGCCATGCTGCATCTTGCCACTAGGCCAACAGAGCTTCCTTTGATATAGGATTTACTAATTTAAAAGAGATTTCACATAACTTATTAGGTTCACAAAGGAAAGAACATTTATGAACTCCTGGTCTATATAACTTATTATATTAATTTACGAAAATGTCCTATTAGACTTTTATTGTATATTGCCCTTCCCTTCACACATGTGGCATTTTAAATGTACTGGTTATTCACACGGGCACTGTACTCATGGCCAACAGTACAACTCATACTAAACAGTGAAATCACCAACAAAACACACAAAAATACAAAACCCCACAACAGTAAGCAGATAGCAAAAAGCATACTTATTTATATAAGGAGTGCAGAGAGAAGGGCTGAGCACCACTGCTAAACACCAGCTGTGAAGGGGTGTTTTGGGCAAGTCAAAATTTTCACTGCTCTGCATTCTGTGAACAACTAAAAATCACTGCAAGTACTGATTTTGTGACTGTAAATAAGGTTTAGTAAGTAGGAACATTCACAAACACAATGCCCACAAATAATTAGGATCAACTATAAATAGAATTATACACTATGTGGACTTTTGAGTCTAACTCCTATTACTTACTATGTTTTCAAGGCTCACCCATGCTGTCCTTTGAATCAGTACTCTATTTTTTTTAAATGGCCTCTATGGTTGTTTATTCATTCTTTACTTGAGGGGAGCTCTCGTGGCCTTCTATGTAGGTGGCTGAGCTGCTAAGCTAAAGGTGGCTAGTTCGAATCGATCAACTGCTCTGAGGGAGAAAGGCAAGTAATCTTCCATGTGATTTATCACCTGGGAAAAGACGCTGGAGGATCAGCTATGAATTGGTTTTGATTTGATGGCAATGAGGGGTGAGTGCTGATCCTACTCAGTGTTACGAAGGAGCACTGGTGGCATAGTGAATAACATATTGGGCTACTACCTCAAAGGTGGGCAGTTCAAATCCATCTCTGCAAGAAAAAGATAGCAGTTCCCTAGTGTAAAGATTTATAGCCACAGGAACACAAAGGAATGTCACTATGAGTAAGAACTGACATGACAGTGAAGGCACAAAGATTTACTCTTAGATTTTTTTCCCCTCCCAATAATGTTATACTTTCACCTTTTATTTACATTTATGACCCACTTTGAGTTAATTTTTTACATATACTGTGAGTTCAAAATCCTACTTATTTTTCGCATGTGGCAGATCTAGATAGCCAGTTGTTCAAGAATCATTTGGCGAAAAGACTATGCTTTGGCTCCATGGAACTGTCTTAACATTCCTTATAAAAATCATTTTTTTTAAAAAAAGCTTATTTCTGGATTCTAATTCTGTTCCACTGAGCTATATGATTATTCTTTTTTTAATTTTAGTATTTTGTGTGTGTGTGTGTGTATCGTCAAATCAGATCTGACTAGTACAGAAGGAGATTGCCTCTCCTCCTCCAGCAAATCATCTGGTGGATTTGAACGGTGTACCTCTGGGATTGCAGTGCAGCTTCTTGCCACTAAGCCACCAGAGCTCCCTATAAGATTATTCTTTTTAAAAAAAAATTTTTTATTATTATTATTTTGTGTGTGTGTACCGTCAAATCAGATCTGACAGGTACAGGAAGAGATTGTCCCTCCTTTTCCAGCAAAGCATCTGGTGGATTTGAACCATACACCTCTGGGATTGCAGTGCAGCTTCTTGCCACTAGAGCTCCTATATGATTATTCTTATGCTAGATTACTTTGATTCTTATGCTACAATGCTTTGATTTATGCCTTCTTAGTAATAAGTTTTCATACGGAAAGATTGCTTGCAAGCAAGCACTGTCTTTCACAACAAAAAACGTATGGTGGTGGTGGTTGTTATGTGCTGTCCAGTCATCTGCAATTCATAGTGACTTTATGTATAACACCTCTGAAGCTTACCCTATCCTTAGCCAGTCTAACTGCCTCCAAAATACCTACTCCCATTACCCGAGTCACTGTGTCAATCCATCTCAACTGGGGTCTTCCTCTCCTGCACTGTCACTCCATACTTCCAAGCATGATTTCCTTCTCCAAGGACCAGTACCTCCTGGCCACGTCAGAGCTTCAAAGTCTTGGCCTCCAAGGTGAAATTTGGTTTCACCGTCTACAACACAGACCTGTTTCTTCTCTTGGCAGTCCATGGTATGTTCAAGACTCTTCTCCAGGACCACAAATGAAAGGCATCAATTCTTCTGCCAGTCAATGTCTAGCCCTCCACTGCACAGCAAATGACTGTAAAGACCATGGCCTGAATTAGGCATGTTTAGTCACTAAACTGACATCTTTGCTTCTCAATACTCTGGAGTGATCCCTTACAGCAGATTTTCCCAGTGCAATTTGTCTTTTGATTTCCTGACTGCTGGTAGCAAGAGTGTTGGTTGTGGAGCCGAGAAAGCTGTAATTGTTAACAACTTCAAATCTCTTCTCCATCCATCATGGTGCTACCAATTGGTTCAGTGGTTAGAATCTCCGTCATCTTGATGTTGAGCTTCAACCCATATTTAAGACTAGAGTCCTTGAGTTTCTGGAGTAAGTGCTTCAGGTCTCAGTTTCGGTAAGCAATACTGTGTTATCTGCATATTGTAGGTTGTTGATGAGTCTTCCTTCAATCCCTATGCCACATTCTTCCTCATAAAGCCCAGCCTCCTGAATGATTTGTTCCATATATTAACTGAAAAGGTATGGAGACAGGACATATCCTTGATGCACTCTTTTCCTGATTTTGAATTATGCAGTTTTCCCCTGCTCTGTTCTGAGGACTGCTTCCTGGTCCAAGCATAGGTTTCGCATGAGCATAATCAAATGTTAATACACATATATAAATTAGGTTATTATCTGTGAAGTCTTTATCATATTGAACAAATGCCCTTTTTTCCTTGTTTGCTGAGGGTTTTATCATGAAAGGGGGTTGGATTTTCTCAGATTAATTTTCTGGTTTTGGAGACAATAGGCATTTTTTTTAAAAAACCGTCATCTTATTATTATGCTAAATAATTTTCCACTAAATAAATTTCACTTGTTCATATGTATATATGTACATTCATGTGTCTTATTCTTTATATAATGCTACTGGATTTGATTTGCCATTTTGCTGACGAGGATTTATCTATCTGT